AAGCGGATTCCCAGCTCCTGCCCAGCTTCTTGGATACACCCATATGACCAAGGAGCTTGCATGTGGCTCCTCTCACTACCAGGTGTCCCAGACTGACGTCTGGATTTCTTCGTTGACCAGCAAGCACCTGACAGATGCTTGTTCTAGGTGCTGGAGATGCAGGAGTAATTGACTTCCGGGGGGGGGGGGGGCAGGCACAATAACTAACAAATTGTATCTGGTGGTTGTAAGAAAGTGGAATCTAGAAAGCGAGGAGGTGTACTCTTTTATGGGGGGGGGAGAAAAGCCCCCATTTTGAAAGCTGCCACTTGGGTAGAGACCTGGAGGAGAAGGAGGCACAGTGTGGGGGTGGGGAGGCAGGGGTTCCAGGTTGAGGGAAGATCAAGCAAGGCCAACGCAGGGGGCTGCAAAAATGGCCCCAGAAATGTGAGGAGCAGCCAGAGATGATGGAGGGCAAGGCCTAGGAGGCAGGAGATGCCAGGTGCAAAGGCTCCAGTATTCTCTGAGGAACTGGTTCTAGAGCTCTGGCGGAGCGCCTGAGTTTTGAGCAAGGGGCAAGCTCTGACCTGGTGCTCCTGGGTAAGCTCCGACGTAACCCAAAGGCCAAAGATTGGAAAATCTGTGACCCTGGCAACTCTTGTTATCTTTTTTTTTTTTAAAAATAGTATCTAAATATAGCTTAATGACAAAATTTATTTTCTATTGGGATTTTTATATTTTGTGCTCGTTGTTTTGTTTTGAGAGAAGCTCTCACTTTGTGGCCCAGGCTGGCCTTGAACTTGAGTTCTACTTTACCCTGCACTGTTGGGTCCAGGGTTGTACAATGATGGGGGACAGACCACCTGTTATTCTTGTTTCTGCCTTTGCCTTTCTTGTCTGCGGGGTTAGAGAGTGGCTACAGCTATAGCTGATAAGCTTTGTGTGCCCCATGGGGATTTTTTTTTTCCTTTTTCTGGAATAAAGCTTGCTTCTGGTTTAATAGACTTTGGTGGTATAGTTTACCTCTGTACACAGCGGCCTCCAGGATGTCTGCTCTTAAGGTAAAAAGTGTTTGTAAAAGGTTAACAGTGGTTTCTAGCTTTATTTTTTTCTCCCAAAATGTGTTCGAGTTTACAGCTTTTTATTTCTATATTTCTGGACTGGACCATTTATTTATTTATTTTGGTTTTTCAAGACAGGATTTCTCTGTAGCTTTATGGAACCTGTCCTAGAACTAGCTCTTGTATACCACGCTGGCCTTGAACTCACAGAGATCTGCCTGCCTCTGCCTCTTGAGTGCAGGGATTAAAGGTATGCACCACCACCGCCCCGCTGAACACTTTATTTCTTTTTTTTTAATTTAATTTTTTTTAATTTATTTATTTATTAAGGATTTCTGCCTCCTCCCCGCAACCGCTTCCCATTTCCCTCCCCCTCCCCCGATCAAGTCCCCCTCCCTCATCTGCTCGAAGAGCAATCAGGGTTCCCTGACCTGTGGGAAGCCCAAGGACCGCCCACCTCTATCCAGGTCTCCTAAGGTAAGCATCCAAACTGCCTAGGCTCCCCCAAAGCCAGTACATGCAGTAGGATCAAAACCCACTGCGATTGTTCTTGAGTCCTCAGTATTCCTCATTGTCCGCTATGTTCAGCTAATCCGGATTTATCCCATGCTTTTTCAGACCTAGGCCAGCTGGCCTTCTCAGGAAATTCGGGATCAACCTACCCCTGGATCCAGCAATACCGCTCTTGGGAATATACCCAAGAGAGGCCCTATCATACAACAAAAGTATATGCTCAACTATGTTCATGGCAGCATTGTTTGTAATAGCCAGAACCTGGAAACAACCTAGATGCCCTTCAACGGAAGAATGGATGAAGGAAGTATGGAATATATACATATTAGAATACTACTCAGCAGTAAAAAACAAGGACTTCTTGAATTTTGCATACAAATGGATGGAGATAGAAAACACTATCCTGAGTAAGGTAAGCCAGACCCAAAAAGAGGAACATGGGATGTACTCACTCATATTTGGTTTCTAGCCATAAATAAAGGACATTGAGCTTATAATTCATGTTCCTAGAGAAGCTAAATAAGAAGGTGAATCCAAAGACAAACACATAGGCATCCTCATGAATATTAACCTTCATCAGGCGATGAAAGGAGACAGAGACAGAGACCCACATGGGAGCACCGGACAGAAATCTCAAGGTCCAAATCAGGAGCAGAAGGAGACGGAGCACGAGCAAGGTACTCAGGACCACGAGGGGTGCACCCACACCTTATTTCTATATTGTATTCCTGGACTCTTCAGCGTCACCGTGCTGGCCCAATGCCATTATTCTTAAAGTCCTAGTTAGCAATCACTGACTATAGTGCTATAATCGTAAAATAAAATTTCCAAATACAGAAAATAATGCAATATTTAAAATTTGATTAGAATCCAAGTCACTAAGGTCTTAAGGTAAAATTGGCAATAGCTTGTGGGCCAGGAGTCTTCTAGTTCCAAGGCTGTGGCAGGTGTGCCTATGGTTTCTGATGATGTCCCCGAGGACAAAAACCACACCACCACTGTCATTTTATAGAGGGAGTGGCAAGACTTGCAAGTTGACCAGGTCTGGGCCCTGTGTGCTCCAGAGCCCTGTGACGTGTATAAGGGCAAGTCCCAGAGAGGACAGAGCTAGTTCCCCAGCTCGAAGGCCCTCCTGCTGCTGCCTGCCTCACCACCTAACCCTGAGAAGTGCACAGTTGTGTTCCTACACAAACACAACTTCAACACAACGTGTTCCTGTTTGAACACATTTCTTTTATATCAATTGGAAAAGAAATCAATTTCTTAGAGATTCCTTTCCAAAGGTATTCATCCTGATAATTAATGCTTTAACTAATAGCTAGAACTGTTCACCTGCTGTGTGGGGGGTAAGGTGGAAAGTTTGGGAAGTTTAGGCCTGCCAATCCTCCAGGAAAACTGGTTATTCCTGAGACTTCACAAATATCCCAGTGCATATAAAGGAAAGAGCACACCCAGGCATTATCTATCTAAAGAACTGTTTATCCGCGGCCCAGGGCTGGAATGTTTTTTTTTTTTAATTTATTTATTTATTAAAGATTTCTGTCTCTTCCCAGCCACCGCCTCCCATTTCCCTCCCCCTCCCCTAACTAAGTCCCCCCCCCCTCAGCCCGAAAAGCAATCAGGGTTCCCTGTCCTGTGGGAAGTCCAAGGAACCCCCCACCTCCATCCAGGTCTAGTAAGTTGAGCATCCAAACTGCCTAGTATTAGAGTATTACTCAGCAGTAAGAAACAAGGACTTCTTGAATTTTGCATACAAATGGATGGAAATAGAAAACACTATCCTGAGTGAGGTAAGCCAGACACAAAAAGAGGAACATGGGATGTACTCACTCATATTTGGTTTCTAGCCATAAACCAAGGACATTGAGCCTATAATTAGTGATCCTAGAGAAGCTAAATAAGGAGAACCCAAAGAAAAACATATAGGCATCCTCCTGAATATTAACCTTCAGCAAGCGGTGAAAGGAGCCAGGGCTGGAATGTTAATGTTGCCTAATAACCAAAGAACGTGTTCCATCCTGAAACCTTTCTTTGTACATCCAGCTGGGAAGTGCAAGAAGTTCCTGGCCGCCAAAGCACAAGGCACAGGGACACCACCTGGAACTCTTGTGGCTCTGGCTCTGGCAAACCCAGATGCTAGGAAGAGACAAAAACAAACAAACAAACAAAAAACAAAAAACAAAAAAACCAAACCTGTCTGGTCTCCCTTTTTGAGTTCCTGCCACAAGGATCCTGGGTTCTTGACTGTGTGAGGAAACAGGGACTTGAGAAAGACCTAGACAAATTCCACCCTGGGGCATCTGATTGCGGGACTACTTTTAATGGCAGGAGATGGATATGGAATTCAGGGCAAGGACTGTTGTGGAGGTGAGGAGAGGGCTGCTTGCAATGCCCGCTGGGGCTTCTAGCTAACCCACAGGAAAGCAGACCTCCAGGAGAGAGGGACCCTGGGAGATTTGCGAGTCCAGGCTGAGAAGTAGGGCTGTGACTGAACCGAGAGACCTGCAGAGAAGGAAGAAGATGCGGTAGAGTTGCAGGGCCCAGTAGTGTCCCCTCGCATGTTATCTGAAATCCCTTCAAAGGGTACATCCTAGGGAAACCCAGCCTGGGTCTCCCACTTCTGCCTTTTGAGACGACAACAGAAGTTGCCGGGTAGGTGTGTTAACAATGGTGGAAAAATACATCCTACACCTAAGCTCAAACTCAAGAGGGATGGGGGCTGGGGGCTAGGCCTCTGGGAAGCAACGGTGAGGAAAGAAATGAAAGGTATTCCAAGAAAGGGGTTGTCTTTGTAACTCCCTCTAAACAAAATAAGGTCCCTCACAAGTCCAGCTTCAATGGACTCCCTTGAGAACCACCAAGCGACACATTACACCTAAGCCTATACAGACCCCTACCTAGTGTGGGGTACAGGCTTCGGACACCCTCAGCTAGCAGGCAAAGCACCTCCTCCCACAAGCCACATTCCTTTTCCAGCTGCGCGCCAGACCGGCCAGAGCCAAGCTGGAGCACTCCCTAGGGACCAGCAGGAATGCAAAACAGAGCGGAACTGAGCTCCGGGAAGATTCCTATCCAAGCGAGTTTTTATGAGGCTCACAAAGGACGTCAGAACAACCAAGACCCACTGGAACACAGCCACGTCTGGAAATCGCTGAGGGTGAATGAAACGCTCCAGTTAATTAGAATTTCTCTTTGGAGGGAAGAGAACACTGTTCAACACAGCTATTAGCTGTTTGAATATTGGGAGAGAAACCCAGTAATTTATTAAGGTTTGAGGAAAAGTAATAAGATTCATTTATGAGCTGAGCTCTTAAAACCTCAACTTCATTTTTATGCATTCGTGGCCTCTGTTCTTTCTTTCCTCCTCTTCCTCTCTCCCTTCTCTCTCTTCCCTCTTCCCCCCTTCCTTCACCTCCCTCATTTTCCCCCTCCTCCATTGAATAAAATCTCATATTGGGGCCCAGGTCAGTCTTGAACTTGTGCCAATCCTCCTGCCTCAGCCTCCAGAATGTGGGGATTTCATGTGTCGCATCACCATGTCCAGCTCAAGGCTTCGTTCTTCACAACACGGTGAATGCTGTAAAATAAAAAGAAAGAAAAATGAGCACAGATGAAGCTGTGCTTCCTGATCCTAAACCCTAAGCACCCGTTAATGCTGTCAATGAAAGGTGCAGTTCTTGGAGGGGGGCGGGTGAGAGAGGGTTCAGTCTGGAGCCAGACAGGAGTAACCATGGCCCAGGAACACAGATTGCAGCTCAGCCCAAACATGTTCCAATGGAGAAACAGTTACGTAAGCTTTTATTGTTACAGGCTCTTTCCAAGAAGATGTATGGGAATATCAGGTCAGGGCTGCCACAGCACAGCGGGTTGTTTCGGATGTTCTCTGATGACATCCTAAGCGTTGGATGGGTGAAAATCAGTGGCCTAAGCTAACACCATAGGACAGTCACAAGGGTAGATCAGATCAGAAGGGAAGAATGGCAAACTGCTAGTGTGAAGATTCCCCCTGGACCTGCAATGTTCCAGCCCTCCATGTGATATCACCACGCTCTCAATGCCTTGTTTGCATGTTCCTTCAGTTGTGCTAGCTTGAGTCTTTCAGACCTAGGCTGCAAAGCTTGTTTGCTGGACCTTCAACACCATAATCATGCAGGAGAGCAGTCACCACAGACTGTCACTGAACCCTGGCAAGATACTTTAGCTTCTGTCACACCGAGGCTACCAGGGTGACAGTATCTGTGTCAGCATTCAACTGAGATTCCAAAATGGCTGTGTGAGGAAATCCAACTTTCTGGGGGAATCTCAGAGGCCCTTCTTTGGTGTCAAAGAAAATCCTCCTGGATCTAGAAACTTCTAGGAGGTCCTGGTGGGCAGGAAGAGAACCCAAGCAGCCTCTTGCTGAATGGCAGAGAGTAACTGAACATGTGTTCACAGGCAGATACAGCAGGGCAACACTCAGCTCTGGGTTGCCAAAGAGCCCAGTCCCCATTGGCACAGCAGAGAGGATATCTTAAATCCTTGCACAGAGGCATTTTCTATGTGTGGCGTTGGCAGGTGGGGGTGGTGGCCTGGTGCTTAGCTTCAAACCCCAGGATTGGTATGCACTCAGCAGATGCTTCCATAAACTAAATGAACTAATTTCAGTTCCCATCCTGCTGAGAGCTTATATAACACTAGGCCTGTGGTTCGGCTTTTCTGTCTGTTTGGTAGGCAGGAGCCCCAAGAGAAGGCCCATAAAAAAGGTTCTGAAGAATTTAGAGTTGCCTCTGCGTTGTTTGATCTAAATTATGGGCAAATGTCAAACCGTCATTGTGACAATGACACCGTTCTCTTCACCGTCTTTCTTCTGACCAGAGGTTTCTCTAGCTTGACACCATGGCTCACACCTACAATCCTAGCACTCCCAGAGGCTGAGGCAGGAGGACTGCCAGGAATTCAATGCCAATGCCAGCTTGAGCTACAGAGCGAGACCCTGTCTTAATTTCTCTTCCTGATGCCATGATAAACTACCAGGATAAAAGCAACTTAAGGGAGAAAGGAAACATTTACCTTAGCTCACAGTTCAAGGCTATAGCTCCTGGTGACCGGGAGGTCCAGACTACAGTCAGTCACGTGGTGTCCACAGTCTGGAAGCTGAGAGCAAGCAAAGCTACTGCACAACCCCTCCTCTGCTTAACCAGTGAAGGATCGGCAACATTGGAGCTTCAGCCAGGGAACGGTGGCACTCAAGACACTCATGGTGCAGGGTTTCCCACATTAAAGTAATCAAGAGAGTCCCGCACAGGCGTGTCTCCCAGGTGGCTACAGATTTTATCAAGCACACAATTAACATTAACTGCCACAGACTCAGAAAAACTCCAAGCCAACCGTTTCTCCAGCTTGCGAAAACCTTTTCTTCCTAAGTCAAAGCTACTTTCATTGTGATATTTGACATTTTGGAACTCGATTGGGCTGATTTCCAAGAACTGAGCATTAAAAATGTTTGTTCTCTGTTTTAAATAAGACGGCTTTCCTATGCTACTCCACAGCAATTCATTTCAGTTGCTAACACAGTAACCCTTTCTCTGGTTTTAAATCTAGATTCTGTTAACAACTACAGCTTTACCCATGAATGCCTGAAAGCTTTTGCACACTAAAGCCCTGTGATTTTATCTTATATTTCTATTTAATCTTCCTAACAACTCAATAGGTACTACATTATTCCTTTTCTATGTCTGTACAGACATTAACCCAACGAGGACGTGACAGAACCAATCTTTGACCAAATCTGCACTTCCCAACCCTCCTCTTTTAATTCTGTCAATGATCTGACTATAAAATAGACTTAAGACACCAGCCGCATGGGCAAAGGCATTCGCCACACAAGCCTGGTTACTTGACTTTGATCCCTGGAACCACAGAAAGATGGACGAAGAGAACCAGTTCCACACAGTTATTCTCTAACCTCAGTGCATTCACGATGGCCAGTGTGTCCCTCTCGATCAAATAAAATAATAAAAATAATTTTAAAAGAGGACTTTTTTAGATTAATTTTTTTTTACTCATGTGTGTATGGATGCCTGTGGAAGCCAGAAGAGGGCTTGGGATCTCCTGGAGCTGGGCTTACAAGTGGTTGGGATCACCAAAGGTCTTGGTGTGGCGCCTGCACCATGGACCAGTTCGCAAGTTGGGCAAGGGGCTGGAGGGGGGAGGGAAGGGGGGGAGGAAGGGAGAGAAAGGGAGGGGGAGGGAGAAAGAGGGGAGGGAGGGGAAGGGAGGGGGAGAGAGAGAGAGAGAGAGAGAGAGAGATCATCTTTGAAACAAGAATGCCCATTTTATTGTGTTCCAGGGCAGCTTATATAGAGCTCTCCTTGACTGATGGCCACACCCTAGCTCTCAGGATTTTTCAGCTGCAAGCTCACCAGAAACCTCCCCTGCCATCAGGAACTCATGAGGGTCTTGTGCTCAGTGCAGCTGCAAACATAGGAAAACAAGTTGTTTACTCTGGCAGGCAAGGGGTCATAGAAAGTCAGGGTCTGAGGGTCTGCAGTCCCCAACATTTTGGGAACTTGGGTCTTCTGAAAGAACAGCAAGTGCTCTTAACCACTGAGACATCTCACTTGCCCCGCAGCAGAATTATGAAGCAAGAATCATCAACAAACTCGAGAGTATGAATGTCAGAGCTACTCATTTTTCTTTTTAAAAAGTTTTTAAAATTTATATATACACGTGCATTTTTCCTACCTGAATGCCAGTGATCCACATGTACGCATGCAGTGCCCTCGGAGGCCAGAGCAAGTATTGGAGCTCTTAGAACTGGAGTTATGGACGCCTGTGAGCCCCACTGTGGACACTGGGAACACAACAGAGCCTCTACAGGAATAGTCAATGACTGAACCATTTTCCCCCAAACCTTTTGAGACACTGTCTTAGCGTGTGTGTGTGTGTGTGTGTGTGTGTGTGTGTGTGTGCAGACAGGCAGGTAAACAGACTTATGAAGCAAGAATCATCAACAAACTAGGGTGTGTATTTGTGAACATCAGAATACTCATTGTTTTCCTTTTTTAAAATTTTTATGTATATACAATTGCCTGACTGCCTGTGGGGCAAGAGAGATGGCTCAGCATATAATATCTAAAATCTTGGCCAGACTTGTAGCAATCTTCTGGCCTCTTCTGAGTGTTGGAATTATAGGCATGTAATCACCATGCAAGGTTCTAATTAGCTTAGAATAAGAACCCCCAAAATGATTGTCAATCCTCCGAAAGCCACTGCTGCCTCTACCTCAGATGACCCCATTTAATGTTCTTCACTATTTGGGACAAACTGAATCAGATGAACATAGACACACAAGTTTCTGACATTCTCTAAGCCAAATAGCAGCCGCTAATAAGACTGAAATAAAGCAGAAAAGAATATTGCATGACAGTGCTTGTCATGTAAAGATAATTCTTAAAATATTTTAAATATTAGCCAAGCATGATAACATACATATACTTCTAACCCCTGCACTTGCAAGGCTGAGGCCAGTCTGGGCTACCCAGGGAGTGTGAAACCAAACTGGGCTGCATTTAAGATGTCTTTTAAAGATAATTCCCACTGTCAGGCATGAAAAGTCCCTGCATCAGCTCTCTTGCCTCACCCGATCTGCTGATTGCACTTGGGCGTGAAAAACTTGTTCTGTGGCTACTGTGGGCCCTGGCAGGCTCCACCACAGGTATTGTCTTGTACCTGAGAGTGAGAACTGTTTAGTATCATCACGCTGGCTGGAGGCAAAACTCTTGAGAAACCAGTCGGCTTTGGCTGGCAACCATCTACACATATAATTAGTCTCCAGTGTTCCAACAGCACAAGGGGAGTTTATCCAGTAGCAGCGCCACTCTAGAACGGTGAGAGAAATGTTACACTTAGCTTGTAGGCCAAAATCGCCGGCTATTGCTCAAAAGAATTAAGAGTGTGTTAAATAACTTTGAAGCAGAAGCTGACTTCCCACATCTCCCTCAGTACTTGGCATATGGGCAGCTTGACACTGACCCTACAATTAGGAAAGACAGCGTATGAAATCAGAAAAGCGGAGAGATTTCTGAGCTAGGGGTCAAAGGAATATGCATATAGAGCCAGTTACCTAGAGCCATCTAATACTAGCCAGAATCACTGAATCAACTTCATTTCCCGTGTTTTCAGTGACTGGTCAGTGTCATCCGGGAAAACATAAAAACAGAGCTGTGTTGTCAGCTGACAGTTAGGGTTCTGATCCCTACCCTGTCACTTAGCAGAGTGGGATATCAGCCAGGGTTGTGAGCGGACTCCATACATGGGATCCGCAGGGGCCGTTTCAATCAATTCACAGATTTTACACAACTTGCAAGCTTTCGTGATGTGTACCATTTTTATCTGGATCAAATGATTATTCTAAGATTCTTTGATGCTTTGCTTAAGGTTAAATTGTCTCAGCTTTGAAAACCATTAAAGGGCCCATGGAAGGCAGCCCCCAACCCCAGTGCAAACTTCAATGCTGGATCTAGATTTCTTTTTAGGCAAAAGTGGTTATGATGTGTCTTAGTTACTTTTATATTGTTATGCTAAGACACCATGACTAAGGCCACTTACAGAAGAAAGGTTTATTTGGCGCTTATGATGTCAGAGGATCAGAGTCTGTGAGCATTATGATGGGGGCATGATGGCTGGAAGGGAGCCATGGCACTGGAGCAGTAGCTGAGAGCTCATTTATCTACCCACAAAATCAGGCAGAGAGTGTTTGCTAACTGTGTGGGCTTTTGAAGCTCCAAAGTCCGCCTCGGATGACATACCTCCTTCCACAAAGTCACAGCCCCAAATCCTTTCCAAATGGTCTCACCCACTGAGGACCAAATATTCAAACATTTGAGCCTATGGAAGCCATTCTCAGTAAGGCCACCATATGACAGCTAATTTTCATTGCCATTTATCCTCTGGGTATGTCTGTAAGAGAACCTGAATGTGGGAGGTGCTATTTTATAGGTTATGATCCACATTGAGTAAAAAGGAAAATATCCAAACGCCATCTGAGCATGGGCATTCATACCCATCATTCAAATTGTGTACACAATGTCACCAGCCACCTCATGCTCCTGTCCCCAGATCTTCCCTGTCATGATAAACTGAGTCCCCAGATAGTCAGCCCAAAGGAACCCTTTCCCTTCTTCAATTACTGTTGTCAGGTATTTTTGGCACATCAGCAGTAACTATTACAATGGCTGAAATCCACATGCTCACATACTCAGCTGATTTGCAAACATTCATCCAGTAATCCCAAGCCCAACATTATAATCCTTTATGTGTGACAGAAGACAGGCACATTGGATGAACCTAAACAATAAATCAGTAAGGCAGGTTGAGTTTGCACAGAGAAGTAGAAAATATGGCTTTCAAGTGAGGATTGTTGAAATTCGCACCTCCACTTGAACCATACTGGTGCAGTGATCAAGGCTTCAATGAGGTCCAAGTGGTGACTCCAAATTCTTCACTAGAGAGAAATGTAGCTTCAGTGTTAATTTCTTTAGCTATTTCATTGTCAACACCATACAGGCCCTGGTACTTTAAATGATCATCAGTTTCCATGACTAAGAGTTTACCGGTAGGAATCACCGGTACAACCTGAAATGAACTGGAAAGTTGTCTGAGCTGGTCCATCCAGCATTCACTGGTTGGTGACAACTATGTGCCAGGAACGGAATTAGGACTTAAGCTGTGAAGAGCTGTGGATGTACTTGAGCTGAGGACTTAGATATGATTCAGCAGACTCTTGAAAAGATGAAGCACTTTGCAGTGCTATGGAGAATGTTCTGGAAAGTGAGACACCAGCTACAGAAGCCAATGTCTGTGCTGTGGGATTGGAAAGGAAAGGGTGAAGACACTGATGTTTTGAGAATGAACAGGAGGGAATGGAGAAGGTTTCAGGGCCAACGTGAATGAAGGCAAGGAAGGTGGAAAGGGACTCACTGCAGCTTAGCCTTGGCATTGGCGTGGGATGCCTTCCTGACGGTCACTCATCTGCTGTGTGATTTTCCCCCTCACAGTGTCTACTAATCATTAGATAAGGCTTGCTGGAAACAGGCAATCTCTTAATCAACACAGTTATCTCCTGCTAATTATGAATAGCAAGGTATATTGTCTATGACAGAAAGCTGGGGTTTAGCCATGTCTTTAATACCTAGGCAATGCCGTCCACATCTGTACAGTTGATACAGGTAAATGCTGCCTCCATTGCCAAGTGACAGGCGATAGGGGCTCACCCATGCCTTGCACGGGACTGAGTTAATCACCATCTGCCACAGTCTCTGGTGGCTCTCTGAGCTCTGGGGACTGAAGTCTCTATAGCTACATTTTTATGCATCAGTCAACAGCGCTGGGGCACCACTGCACTTAGCCATCAGACATACAGTCAAAACTCACAGCCACCCTGCAATGCCGAACAAGTCTGTCATGGATGATGGAAGGCCTTTCCAATCAAGGTATTTCATTCATCCATGGAATAAGCAAACGGTGCTAGGAGGAGAGCCAGATGTCATTCGTTGGATGTTTAGATGAGATGTAAAGGGCATTCCTGCATCCCTGCATCCCCTGCACTAGACTTGAAATTCTAATGCAAAGGGCATCCCTGCATCCCCTGCAGGTGGATCACAAGCCCCAGCGGCTTTCACTTCAAACTGTAAAACTCAGTTAAGCAGCCCAGACCTTCTGCTTACACAGTTCCCACCCCATCTATCTTAGCGCTGCCCTTAGAGGGAGCGGCCCTTACAGTGTAGGGTTCTACACAGGACATGTAGGAGGTGTCCAGGCCTGACAGGAGATAGGAAGGCTTTCAGCACCCTGCTAACAGTAAAACATAATGGTGACATCTCCAGGTGTCACTAGTGCAGGAAACTGGACTGTAAGCAACATCGTCTGGGGACTGTTCTGGGTAGTCTCAATTTCTCAAAAAGTATTTTCTTCTCTTGCCATTTGTTCTGTTGCAGAAAATCTGGCACAAACAAAGCAGTAAACTGGCCACATAATCACATTATCGAGGTGGCTAGCCGACATGGGACCTTGTCTTGGCCAGGTACGATAGCTTCAAGTTATGGGGTTAACTTACCTGTGCTTCTGCGCAATAGCTTCAGAGTGAACGCACAAATCAGACAAACAAAAGAGAAGTGGGCCATGATTCAAAAACAGCCCTTATTTTCCCCATATTCTCTGTAAACTTGGTCCTAGAGAAGGAACTAGAGAAAGCTGAAATCACTCCTTTTTCATTAGAACCAACATACAAGCAAAGGCCTCCATAATATAATGGGGAATTCTAAGGGCAAAACACGTTGGTAAAATAAGAAATGTAATCACCGTAACCATTGTGATATCCCAAATATTAGTTATGAGTCTAGAAATGGCTAGCTTGTTTATGGCCTGGCTTCTTCCTTTAAAAAAAGGAGAGCACTAGAGTCAGGGCATCGTAGCTCACATCTGGAACCCCCAGCACTTGAAGGCTAACGCAGGAGAATGGGCACACGCAGAGCTCCAGGGTAGCCTGGGCTACAGAATGAGAGCTTGCCAGGAAAAGAAAGTAACAAGAGGCTAGAAGATGCTAAGCAAGTGTGAGAACCCGAGTGTGAATATTCAGAGCACACTTAAAACTGTGTGCAAAACCACGTGTGCAAAACCAGTATTTCTGTGGCAAGATGGGAGGAGGAGACAGAGCTTCTGGAAGCTTGCAGGTCACGTAGCCTGGTGTATGCAGTGCCTCACAGTGGAGATCCTATTTCAGGAAAGGTGGAAGAAGCCCGAGTCTACGAATTTTGACGTAAAATCACCTGTGTGGCTCAGAGGTCTACCATGGAGTACCTCCTTCTTCTGGTGAGATGCAATCCTCATTCTATGGCGAGAGCAGTCCTGGCCCTATGGTGGGATGCAGTCCTCATCCTAAATCTGATATGCCGAAAGCTCCCAGGCTCTAAGCTTCAGGAAAAAGAAATGCTAAGTAGCAGAGATATCAAACGCACATTTTGTAATTTCTTTCCTTCCTGATTCTATTTAGGAACTCTTATTGTAAAACATTCACCAACAGTTCACGGAAGGAATTATTTCATAAATAGAAGTATAATTTAATCTTTATGCAACTCATTCTGCAATGGGTGGAACAAAAATTATGCTTTTATCAGAAAACAAGGCTTAAACCCAACTCTGCATTCAATCTGAGAAAAAATTAACTTATACTCATAAAGCAAAAATGAACTTTCCATAAATAATAAACTTTTTAAACCTCATGATTTATCATATGAAGAGTTTGAGAAATCAAATGTTTCCAGTTATAAGAATCATGCTTTCTTTGTATGACCCTGTGAGCACAGCACCGCAGGATTCTCTGGAACATGGAGGGAGAGAGGGTAAAGGGTGTGGCTCACCTAACTGGGGGCTCAGTTGTTCCAACCTATCTGGAGAGCAGAAGCCTGGTTGGGCGTCTGAGGCAGGAGAATTGTGAGTGCCAGGTGGACAAGGCTACAGAGCAAGATGCCCACAACCCTGCCCCTAAAGGAGGGCAGACTTTAGGCTCTCAACGTGTCTTAGGACAGCTCGTCTGTGACTTGGTATATCCAGAAAACAATATTTTATTAAGGAAATGCTGGAGCCATGGGCCACAGCTCCAGTCAGTACGAACGCCTCTGGTGCCGTGAGATGGTCTGGATCCAAGGGAAAGTGTGGCTTTATTTCCTCAGCCGTAAAGCTCTGGAGTTCAGCTACCTCGCCATTCATGTTCCAAAGCCCTGCCATTATTCCGCTTCAGCATTTAATGTTTCAAATCTGAGTTTACAAGACTCATAAGCTCTTTGCTGGCTGTGTTTACTAAAGGAGGATCAAAGCCCCTTGTTGCTTTTTGAGTCTTTTACATCTGCAAGCGACACTGTAACATTTCAGACAACAGTGTCTCTCCACTCAAGCATTCAGTATGAGAAAAATGCCTTCCTTTCCAAACATTTACTTCCTCGAAGCCTAAACATTTCCCAAACTCTAAGATCTCTGCAGTCACACGCATTGCCCTCTCTTGGTCATCTTCAAGATCAGCCTTCAGCACACTGTTCTTCATGTCTCCCCAGCGACTTTGCTTTCTTCCCGCTAAGGCCCTCTCCGGTAGGCATGACTTTAGCAATTAGAAAGTAGTAGAAGATGGTCATCTTCCTGAACACACCTTACAGAGAGGATGGCTTCCAGTGTGTGGTGTTTTCTGATGAACACATCAGGGTGCCAAGAAAGAAACAAGGCAGGTACCCTTACATGATAGGATGATGAGTGATGATGAGGGACAAACTCTGTGTCCAGAACTCACCAATGACTGGGACAGCGGCTTGCAGAGCACCATGTGTGATGCTTCCTGCCATTTACACAGACTTGCAGATGTTCACATCTGTAGTGTGTTAGCAGTTGCGGTGCACAGCAAGAGACTGCAGAGTAAACAAACTAAATTTCTGAAGGCAGGTGCTTTTGGAGAAGGGAGAACCGAGCTACCTGGGTACCAAAGAGACACTGAGAAGCACCTCTGGAGAAGGGAAGATGGGAACAAGAGGGTCCAAAGAGGCTTTGGTACTGTTGTTTTTAATTAGATGATAAGGAGATGAATGACAGGGTTTATATTACTTAATGATCTATTATTTATTTATGTGGGGGGGTGGATATTGCTTTGCGTGCATGGACTCATGGAAGACAGAAGAGGGTGTCAGGTGCCTTGGAGCTGGAGTGACGAGCATTTGCGAGCTCAGCATGTCAATATGGTTGCCAGGAGCTAAAGCCAGGTTCTGTAAAAGAGCAGGATGAACTCTTAACCATAGAGTTGTCTCTCCAGCTCCAAGGTCCATCCACTCTTGAGAAGAGAGTACATTGTCTCACACTTTGCTGTCCTTAGTTTTATTACTTGTACTTTCTTGTGTTGGTTCTTAATAGTAGGCTACTAAATAATAGCAGGGGTATCTAAGATTAACATCTAAGGATAATAACGAGTTCCTTAGGGTCTTTCTATGGAGCTAGACTAGCCTGATGCCTCGGTCCTGTTACAGTCTCCCAAGTTCCTGGGTACTGGAATTACAAGTATGTGTCACCATGGCCAGCTTCTAATGATGATTTGGATGGCCAACTCTGCAGAGAGCCTTTCCCAAAATGCACTGGGGATATTCCTTACAAAACACGCTGAGAGCCACTCCCAGTATGAATTTGGAGACGGCAAAAAGAACGGAGTCCATTTATTTCATGGGCGATTGCGAGGAGCTGAGGAACGGTGTGTGCTATCGAGACAGTTATTCCCACACAGCCTACACTCCGGGCTTGATAAGCATAGTGATTACCAGAAGCTAAAGCAACCTATTCACGGATCCTAACCACATGTAATGCAGCTTGCTGCCTCTTCACAGGTTACACAGCATGTCAAATCATCTTGCTTTAAGCAACTCATAATATAGGGCAGTTATATTTAATGTCTAAAATATAAACACATCCATATACAGGGAACATTCCTGTACGTCACTCCTAGGCAAGTAACTTTTATATAGGACTTTACACACACACACACACACACACACACACACACAAAAAATCAATGAATTAATGATCAAAAAATGTGAAATGTATTTTTGATTTAGCTTTAATTTTTCCACTTGATCTACACAGAATCAAAATATTTAAAAACATGGGTTCTTAAAACATGTTAGTGAGGAGTGATTGGCAGGAGACTTCACTGCAGTGAGGGATGTATGGGGATTGGGGCCTCCAGACAGCCCGCTCAAGAGAGGCTTTGCTGGCTGCACCTGCACAGGAAGTATGAGTCTGTACAGACACAGTGGGCACCCCACCTCATTTCTCAATATACACCCCAAATCCAGATTTCCTGTTAAAGTCTCTGTTGAAAAAGACTGGAGACCAAGCCCCGCTGTGAACCACTGTACACCACTGTAGAAAACAGGAAGAAGCTCTTCAAGAGTAAGTTGGGGGAAAATACGAATGGAGGAGTTGTGGAACAGATGTCCTGAAAGTAAACTCCTGCAACTTTGGGTGCTTAGGCAGAAGGGGTCAGAGTTCAAGGCTAGCTAGGGCTACCATTGAGACCCAGTCTTAAACCCCAACAAAGCAAAACAGAAAGGCAAGGTAAGACCCTTACAGTATTTTATAATAGCTGTAGTGAATCAAGGAGAGGTGGGTTTTGCTTACATTTTCAAAAGAGAGAAGAAAAAGAAAAAAGGAAGACATTCAAAGGAATACATATGGTTACCCATGGTGAGAAGGCAAATTCTGGACATTCCTCTGGACATTTTTGGAATTATGTAAATGTTTTATGTAAGAAAGGACTCCAGGGGAAGAAAGAAAATCCTTGCGACAAAGGAACGTTCATACAGGTGAGTGAGATAAAGTCTTCCAAGTGGTCTCTGCCCACGGAAAGCGGCTGCAGCCTGTGGGCAAAGCTCAAGCTGAATGCCATGCCCTCCCCTGCTTACACTGTCCTGCAGCCCACCATCCCCAGGGAAGCGGTGCTAAGGAAAGCTGCAAAGGTGTTCTGAAGCCCAGGCTGGCTGCTGACAGGATCAGCTTGCTCCCTAACCGTAAATACAGCAAACATTTAAAGAAAAGCCACGAACATGGGAGAGAATTGAGACGAATAAGGCACCAGGATGCAGAAACAGAGGTTGCTCTCTCTGCAGAGAGAGCACAAGAAAGCTCCAGTATTTTCAAGGGCAAAGCGGGCATTGCCATCACCAGGTTGTCCACAAGAGGACAAGCAGGAAGGGAACTGTGAGGAGCCCCGATGTTAAACACAAAATATCTGAATAATGAACTCATGCACCAGAACAGGTGACGATGTTAGTGTGTGCACCTGAGTCCACATGTTATTAAAAACACCAGCGTACTCTTTTTATTGTTGTTGTTTTGTTTTGTTTTTTTGAGCAAGGTTTCTCTGTGCAGCTTTGGAGCCCATCCAGGGAAGTCTCTCTGTAGATCAGATTGGCTCAAATGCACAGAGACCGCCTACTTCTGCCTCTCAAGTGCTGGGATTAAAGGTGTGCACCACCACTGCCTGACTTCACTGTATTCTTAATATTGGCATGCAATTTTATTAAGAACCATAAGTAAACAGAAAGTTAAGCAGTAAGCAAAAATAGCTAAGCAAAGTGGTATCTGAAAAACAAACTTCATAGTAAACGTAGAAATGGAAATTAAAACTAGATATTTTTCCATCCTTCAAAAATGTAAAAATAGCACGGCTATTTTTGCTATATATTTCTGCAAAACAAAATCACTCCATGTGCCTTAGGGTCACTGATGCTTGAGGCACACACCAGGAATGTAGCAGTCCTGGTCCTGAGTGAGCCGGCTCTGATTTGGGCAGCATGCTCTCAGGAGGCTGCAGTCTCTGAGCCACTCTGAAATGGCTAGTTTGTCCTGGCTGTTGGAGTGAGGCTTCACCTTTTCCTGAGCTGGCTAGATTATTCCAGTGTCACAGAGACTGGCTTCTCCAGAGTCAGCAATCCAAGAGTGAAGGCCTTTCGTGAGAAGCCTCAGAAGACCACGTGATTGCTTTCAGCAGCTGATGGGACAGCAGAGCCAGCTCTAATTTTGTGCGGAAGGGGAAACAAGAGCACGGGATTGAGGAGGCGGGCTATACTGGCTGGCTGCCACCGCTGTAATTTAGCTTCGCAAAAAAGGGAGGCCAGAGCTGCCCTCTAACACCACTGCTAAGTGTGTAGTCACCAACATTTTGAATGCACATATCTTTGCATGCATTCTATGTGAAACATGTAGAATGTTCTACATAGTAATGCTAGCAATAATAAAAAAAGGAAAATGGAACTCTGCAAATAAAGGGCCATGCATAAATTACAAAATACTGCGC